TCGAAGGATCGGGGAACATCACGAATAATCCAGTATGTGCTAGGCGGCCTCTATTCCTGTATATAAGTGCGGCGGATAACGTGAGACGAATCAATCGGAATTGAATTGCAGACAGGCAGAGATAAAGACGGACAATTGAGTCAAGCCCGGTAGTGACCGTAAGTAAGTGCGTGAATCATTGTGAATTATAGCGTGTGCTTAAAGTGACTGTGGAAATTAAGTGTATTACAAAGTTGAATTGAGAAAGAATAAACTAGTTTTATTTAAGAAAGGACTTGTGTCGATAAAGTTTCACCCGAAAGAAATTATATGGGAAATTAATAAACGACCAGAGGCGTAACAATATCATTAACAGCAACGGTGCCCAAATGATGAAACAATGCATTATACTCTTTATAAGTAGAAATGCAAGAAATGTACACTTAATTAGTTATACTGATTGCCAGGTTGATCTTTAGTTTCATTCTTGCTTTGATTGGAAGTTAAAATTAATAAATACAGTCTTTAAATCATGTGATTCGGGAGGAACTAGAAAAGGAAAACTTACACTATGAATTTTGTTTTATCATATCCTTATCAATTTGAAATCTGACTCTTATAACCTTTTAAGAAAAAGAAAGTTTGTAATAAGACTTACCTGGTATAAAAGAAAAATGGTGGGTACAAACTTCACAGAACTCATTTTTACTGTACTTGAGCCACTGCATTAAACTCCATTGAAAAAAAAATAATAATATATTGTTATTCACGAAAAAGATAGTGCTGCAAATAACAATGGAAAAGTTTATCAAATGAGAAATAAAATAATTCAGGTGAGTTATTCCTAAAATTTAAAAGGAAAACAAAACAATATCTGATGAAGTTCTGCACTACAAGCTCAAACGTCATCCAAGAACTTCCTAGATAGATGTAGTCTTTCAAGTATACCCTCCTCTATCAATCTTCTCTCAAGCAACAATAGTTTGTAAATGAGATTTACACTACGAGCAAAGTATACTTACAAGTTAAGAAGATGAAAAAAAAATACTAGAAGAAAAGTATTTACTTTTTGAGGACAAATTTTTGTTCTTACAGGCCATAGAATTGTAGATATGACCATTAAAAATTGTCATACGTTAAAATTATTGGTTATAAACAGTCATGTTCTTCTTACACAGAGTGCACATGAACTGACCATTTGTTACACAGTTGAAGAGTGACAAATAATTCTGACTGGCCATTTAACAGTCCTATTTTCTTAAAATAGAGAAAATCACATCATAACTTGTGTGAGAACATTTCCTTCAAACATCAGGTTACTGTTTCAGTAATGAAAGATAATCATTAGAAGGGTTATAAGTGCAGAGGTGAACTTTACCAATAAGTGGAAATATATTTAAATTCTTAACTGCTAACTGACTGACTAACCTTATACAAATTTATAAGTAGTTCAGTAATTATATATAAGCAATTAAGATACAATATTTGAGGTAAATTTTCTAAAAATAAATCTGTATGAAATTAAGTTTGTCTGAGGATTCCTCTCCCCAAATACAAAATTGTCAGCTCTAATAAAATAATTATTTTTTTGTCATTTTTATTTTGTATTTAAAATAAGTATAATCATGTCACAATGAATTCTGAAATAACATTAGTATTAGGAACTTTACCTACCATTCTTCATGAACGTACTTCATACTTCCTGTGCATGCACAAGGATAGTAAAGTGGACTTCCTGGCATTCCTTGGCTTCTGCATATTCTACACATATCTGAAAACATCAAAACAGACCAAACATTTTACTAACATGACATTTTTCTTCTACATAAGAGACATACTACTTATTCTGTTCAATAGAGGCTAATACTGAGTGATATGGAACTATCAAAAAGACAAAGTAATTCTAAAAGAAGCTGTAAATTTTGAAATCAGTGGATATTTCTTAAAATCTTATGTTCTAAACAAAATTGAATGAACATTTACTTATATGTTCAAATAGCCCTTTCCACACACACATACACAAATACAATTTTGTTTTTTAATCATAAAACACAAATGCATATATTACGAATGCATATAACACAATTGTGCAAAAGACATCTGTGGTATTCAGGTCCACTGATAACCAACAGTTAAGTTCAAAAGTATCCAAAACTGTTATGCAAAGAATAAATAGAACACTGACAGCAAAGGAAAGAAATAAAACAAGTGGACATATTAACAAAATCTTTATTTATAATAGTTGCTTATTTTAAATACTGGTCAGCTTACAATCTTTATACGACTCTTATTTATTGCTGGTGTTGAAAGAAGTATTTGAAACTTTCACATGGGACAAAAACAAAGGGAATTCTACATGTGCCCACACAGAACAAATGGGATTTTAACTTAAGTGTTGAAAACCAGAATAAACACTAAAATTGAATACTGTTATGACAGTGGAAGTCACGTGATGCTTGTAACATGTCATGAGTTTCTAGAAGGATCATGACTTTTCCTGACAAGAATTGCAGATAGACAGAGATAGAGACAGATAATTGAGTCAAGTGAGCAGTAGTGACGGTAATATAAAGTGTGTGTTTTGTTATAGAGATTGCAAACGTATTGACTGTGGAAATTCTGTGCATTATAAAGTTGTAACGAGAAATAATAAACTAGTTTTAGTTAAGAAAGGACTTGTATCGCTGAAGTTTCTCTGAAAGAATTTCTACGGGAAATTAACAAACAAACAGAGACATAACAATACTTATTCTAGAATTCAACACTGTGCACATCACCGACTATCCTAAATAACATATTCTTCTTTGTTTTCACTCTTAAGTTCTTAGAATCCATATGGCAGAAATAGCTGTGAAATCTTTCTTTGTGCCCCCTGTACCTATCAAAGCATTAAGACCATACTTAATGTAACCCTTCAATACTATATAATTATCCAACACAAATATAAACAAAATAGCCCTAATTTGGGCTTCCAAAAACATGCCTCAAAATAAAGCTCATTATCACTGTAACACTGAAAAAGCTTCCACTGTCCATGATTTCAATGTTCCAGTTAAACCTCATAAATGTTACAAATCTCTTTGACAATGCCTTTTCTGTGTAATTTTTATCACAAATTCCAGTTTATTAGCAAGATTTTAAATAGTTTTATTCTGTTTGCTTTCACATTTAAAAGACAAAGTGAGATTGGTTCCCACCAAGTGCAGTGAAACAAAACAGGAAGAAACTGTTCAAAATTAATGTTTAGGAACAGGCACTTTTAAGCTGTATGTATCATTTAAAAATAATTATATTTGTCATAAAAATTGTATTAGGCCTATATTTTTTAAAAATCCATTCTTTAGTCAGTCCTCTAGGAAAGAAGAAGAATGTTTAATAATATTTCAACCATATTATGTTCACCATATCCTTTGCTGAAAATGCATTTTGCTCAATACAGAGCTCATTGGGATACCGCTGGAACACTACAAACACAGTGGTTCTTAATAAAGAGAAACAGCCACTATCCAGTGTGATTTTTTTCTTATTTCTTCAACATTTCACCTTATGCCTTTATCAAGAGGTAGACACCTTATTGAAAACAAAACTAGTCTTAAATAGAACAAAGAGCTATAAAAATAAATGTGAACATCAAACTAATTTAATTCAAAATAATAACAATGTGTTCTTATGAAACATCTAACATATGACCATGTTATCAACAATTAAAAAATTGCAATAATAAAAGTAGGACAAGAATATAAACATGGTGAAAATACTAATTTAAAGGTGAAAACAAAAAGATGAGTCATGTGAACATTCACATCCAATAAATATGCAGAAGGAAGCTTTAAATGTAAACAAACAACATATATACATCCTTTAGAAAAGAAATAAGGGAGATATAATGTCCATATACATATACATAAAGACAGAGGTTCTATGATGCCTGGGGCCTTGTACCTAAGACCTTGGGGAAGGGCGGAAAGGGTTCTACTATTCGATTTGACTCTTTGTGTTGGATGCCCGGGACCCCGACACCTTCCCCTCTGCACGCTACTGATAATAGGTAATAATATTCGTGAATCGTTAGAAATAATAAAACATAAAAAAAGATCATGTAGTACTAAATAGAGATGAAGGTATGGCGAATATTTCTGCAAGAATGTGGA